CTCCCCTAAACTCCTGACCCATATATCCAGCTGCCTATGAGACATCTCCACTTGGAAGTTTGGAACTGGAGTGCCTGATCCTCCTTCCCCAATCCTGCAGTTTCTTCTCAGTAATGGTAACTGTTATTATAGGTGTTCAGGCTAAAATCTTTGGATCATCTTTATCTCCTCTCTTTGTCTCACACTGTAAATACTACAAATCTTCAGGATTTTGTGTAAAAATAGATCCCGAATTTGATGACTTTTTACAATTCTCACTGTGGCCCCCGTTGGTCCAAGTCACTGTCATTTCTTGCCTGCATTATTACAATAGCCTCCTGATGGGTCTGCCTACACTCTCTTTTCAACATGGCAGCCTGAGTGATCCTGCCAAAATGTTAGCCCGATCCTTACCTCCCTCTGCTGACGATCCTTACCTCCCTCTGCTGACGACCCACCAATTGTCACTCAAAGTAAAACCAAAGTCCTTACTGTGATCTGCAAGTCCCTGCATGATCCAACCCCCTGTTACTTCCTGGGCTCACCTCCCACTGCGCTCTCTCTCTCTCTCTCTCTCTCTCTCTCTCTCTCTCTCTGTCTCTTTCTCCACTATCACCTACACTGGGCTCCTTGCTGTTGCTTAAAAACATCAGGTATATTCCCCCTTCTTGGGCTTTTGCTCTGGCTGTTTCTTCTGTCTGGAAATTTCTTCCCTACATATCTATATGATTTGCTCTCTCACTTCTTCAGATCTTGAATAAAACTCATTTATTTGCTCAGAGAACCTTTCCCAGATACCTTATCTAAAATGTCACCCACTCTCCTTGATGTTTTATCCCCTTCTTCCCTACTTTATTTTTTCTCCTTAGCACCTATTATCCCTACTTCATATGCTATATTTATTATCTATCTTCACAATTAAGATGTAGGCTCTGTTAGGACTAAGCTTTTTGTCTATTTTTTCACTGCAATGTTCCCAGAGCCCATGTCTGCCATATAATATGAGCTCAATAAATATCCGGTAAATGAATGAATGAGTGACTCTATTTCTCATTTCTAGAAAGTTTATTTAGTTCTTTCTTCAAATCTGCCTGTTCTTATTTAATAGTGTCCTGTTGCTTTCCATTTATAGCGACAAATAGCATGTGTTCTGGCACGAGACTGCTTGGATGCAGATCCCCACACATAGTTGTGTGAGCATTGGTAAATTCCCTAACGTCTCATCTGAAAAATGGAGAAAGTAATAGTATCTACTTCACAGGGATTTTGTGAAGATGGAATGAATTAACATTCTGCAAACCCTCTGAACAGTGTTATGTAAGCGTCAGCTATCTTTACTTTCATCTTCATCATTTAAAATCGACTTATAATTTATGGTACCTTTCAGATTTTCTATTAGTTTGACTTTTGAGGAGGGGCCAATTTTTCTGTTTCTTGCATATGCAAACTCTCTACTGATAAAGCCTAATCAGCTACTGATCACCAGGAGCAGGTCTGTAGTCTGACCACATAAATTACCGATTCAGGTCTGCAAGGGAGGGCACTCTGGGGAAACTGGAATGTCACTCCATAAGAGGGAGGTGGGGGACATCTTTTGTAAGGTTCAGATCCCACTAAAGGATCCTGAGGATGCTAAGGGAAGTGGGCATCATTTCTGGATCGGTTGCTGTTACTGATGGGGTATTAGGAGAAGTGCAGATTAAGGATTAGGTGCTCTCATGAGGAGGAGGTGGCTTAGCAGTTGGGTGCCCCAGCAATAGAAGGGTATGGCACAGTGATCGGGGGGTTAGTAGGAAAGCAGTAGTCACTCAAAGAGTCATTATGGTATTTTATAGAGGCTGCCTGACCTTGGGAGTAACAATGTTTTCTGTTAATTGCATTTGGCTATATTAGTGCCTGTCCCCTTGCCCTTCCTTCCTAATTTGGCATAGCTGCTGTTTTTGTTTTTTCCCCCGTTCAAGCCAATTTGCACTCTTTAAATCCCAGACAAGATTTTGATCTTTCACCAAAATGGCAGGGTGTTTGCAATTTCTCGTTGTGAACTTATCTTCAGCAGTGGGTGTTTCTTCCTATGGGAATCTCTGAAGCTCTGGATAGTGGCTTATCTCCATGGAGCAGATTCAGATTTGTGTTTACAAGAATGCAAAGCATCTCAATGGCCCTAAGCCAGTTTTTATGTCAAATTTTCATCTTGGAATTTGGACCATGCAGTTAGATCAATTTAGACCTCCAGTCCTGCACATGGCATAGGCCTAGGGTTTAGACATTTTTGCTCCGCATCTAAGAACTTTGACAAATGGTGAGCTTCTTGGCCAATTTCCAGGGACTGTGTGCAATTTTTCTATCTCCATTTCAGAGGTAAGAGTTCTTCAAGGTCTTAGATTTTATGCAGAGAGTGCAATCATGGCTTGCCACCTTCTTCTTGCCCTTTACAGGCATTAACCCCTGCCTAACTCCAGATCCAAATTCTTGTGGGGGCTGCTGTGACATTAGTTGACCTGATGGATGCTCTACCTTTGATGGCTTGCTTTATTCCTAGCATGTGGGCATTTCCCTTTACTTTTTTCAAGCCTTTTTACTTAAATATAAATTTCAATTGTATTTTATTCAGCATCTTTTATGTATTTGTAATAGAACTGAGCCCACCTCCATATTAGCTCAGCTCACTCTAATGATGCTAAGATGTCAGTGTTTGTCTGGAGTCACACTTGGCTCTAAATCCCAGAGTCTATGCTTATTTTTTGTATGACTGTGGTAAACTCTCTAAGCTTCCATATTTTATGTTAAAATGGGAATAATAATAAGACATGCCTATAAATGAGGTGATAGACACAAAATACATACATAAGAATTCAGATAACACTGTTAGTACTATCAATATAGAAAATTTTAAAAATAGGCGCTCAGTTGGTTGTGTCCGACTCCTGATTTTGGCTCAGGTCATGATATCATGGTCATGAGATTGAGCTCCACACTGGGCATGGAACCTGCTTAAGATTCTCTCTTCTCCCTCTGCCCCTCTCCCCCTGCTCACACAGTCTCTCTCTCTCTCAAAAAAAAAAAAAAAAAAAAAAAAGGAAAGGAAATAAAGAAAACTAAAAAAATAAAAGGACAAGAAAGAAAATGGTGTGTGCCTTTCCATGACAAGGCCTACCTCTCATCAACTGTATTTCAATAATAAAAAATTCTTTAGAAAGATCTACTTCCTAAAACCAAAAAGTCTACCTCTGTCCATTTTTTGACATATTTACGTATTTTGAGCATAGAACATTTGCTTTTTTTTTTTTCCTTTTTGACAAAAAGCTTTTGATTTCCTCGAGGGTTCTAGAAAATGCCTTCCTATAGTTATTCTGCCCAGGATATGGCTTACGTCTTTGGCTGCTGGTGGTGGTAGCAGACATCTTTTTTAATACGAGAGCTCTGACCAACTACCTCTGTGTTTTGTGTTTTATGACTTGTGCCCATGGGTTAGTGGTTTTCTGCTTCTTCAGTGGAAGAAAAACGTTCTCTTTGGTGTCTTTTGAAGCAGAAACCTTTCCCCTCACCCCCACCACATACGCCCACCTCAACCAGGCAGAAACACCAAGGCCATAACACTTCTTTTGCAACACCATTGGTTTAAAGTTAGGATTAACTTCAGCAGTCCAAGGTCATGAGAGTTAGATGTATATTTAAATTTCCTTACACATTTCTGCTTTGGGAAATCTGACATTTTTACTAAATCGTTGTACCTGGCTTTCAACTCTCATTTCTCTAGCAAAGATAAACGAGTTGTCTCTATACCTACTGTTTTTACCACCACCTTGCCCTTTCCAGGAAGTTCAATAACTGTTTTATGTATGTAACATACCCTGTACCTCAGGAATTCTGGATTCATGTATTATGATTAGATGAAAAAGCAATATGAAGGTGTTTCTTGGTATTTGGTAGGCTCGCAATGAATAAGTGGTATGCATTGAATGCATCTCCAGCTTCTATATCCTGATGTCATCTAAGGTAGACTTTTTAAAAAGCAAATTATAATTCCCTATTGTATTTGTTTTTAGAGGCTGTCATATACATAATGTATACTATATATACATATAGTACTGGCCTGCCAGTCCGAGCATGTGTTCCTATTTTTCAGATGAGACAGTGTAAGCTCTAGGCAGCCTGGAGTGATTTGTACTCTACACTCTTGGCCCTTCCCTACCAGAAGGCTGCCTGCTCTGTGTGGCTTCTTCTTATACACATGATGATGTTCATGGCTGGCCTTGTGCATGAGAATGAAGTTCCAGGGGCCTTGGAGAAAATTGCACTGTTCCCCCTCCTCCTTGCATGTCAAATATTGCAGATAGACCCACTCAGTTCCATTTCAACTCCCTCGTAATATGCCTTGCTAAATGCTTCAGCTACAAAGTGAAAGACTCCATATTTTCCAGAGTCCTGGGCAAGCAGAGTTCCAAGCCTGCCAAGGAAACACACTGGGGTGTTTGAAAGTCAGGAACAGGGGCGCCTGGGTGGCGCAGTCGGTTAAGCGTCCGACTTCAGCCAGGTCACGATCTCGCGGTCCGTGAGTTCGAGCCCCGCGTCAGGCTCTGGGCTGATGGCTCAGAGCCTGGAGCCTGTTTCCGATTCTGTGTCTCCCTCTCTCTCTGCCCCTCCCCCGTTCATGCTCTGTCTCTCTCTGTCCCCAAAAAATAAATAAACGTTGAAAAAAAAAAAAAAAGAAAGTCAGGAACAGGTGGAGGCCATGCCTCTGTGGGTTTGGTCATTTCTGCCGGCTTGCGTGCGGTAGAGATGAGTTGGGTTCTTCCAGGAAAGTGGCAGAAGTCCCAGTGTCTGGTTTTTAGCTTTGTGGGTGCCCGTATGTGGTGGTGCTGATGACACCGGCTT